CGCGCACACACACACACGTGTGTGTGTGTGTGTGTGTGTGTGTGTGTGTGTGTGTGTGTGTGTGTGTGTGTGTGTGAATTACACAGGGATGTGTGTGTGGGTGTGTGGCGACAGTGAAGGAGGGCTTAGAAAGTCCATGCTAAACAATTACCCATTTCAAATGGTAATATCCTACCCTGTCCAGCCCCAGCCACTATTTGAAATCTTTATACTCTTGGTAACATCAAAAGCTAGAGAGAGATTGGGGCAGATTCTGATCTCAGTTTTATGAGATCTTTCTTCAATGGCATTACAGAAAAAGCTTTACAGCTGGCCCCCACCTTTGGACAGGTCTGACATGCAGTCAGCTGACCACAGTCATTAGATTCAGATTTTGTTAAAGGGTTGTGTTCAAAACCAGTATTAACATACCAATCCCATTGGAAATAGACAGGGACACCTGCAGGACAGTTTCCAAGGAGTTCCTTGGGTCAGTTAGTTATTATGATTGCCATTATCACAAATGGGGTGTGTTTCTGGGAACAGAGTGGAGAGAATGAATGGCAGTGTGCCGGGGGCTGTTAGCAAAATGTGAGCTTTGTGCATCACTGAACTGTAAGTTCTGGTTGTAGCCTGGGGCAGTCTGTAGGCTTCTATATACATTGGCTGCAGGGAGCATTCACTAGCCTAGCATGTGCGGAGGCTGTAGATTTGAAAATGCAGCTGCCATATTGTTCAGGTTAAGCCAGGGATAAGCGAATCCGTGGGGAGCCAGGAATGATCCCAGCTTTGCACTGGGTCGGAGCAGAGCACACAAAGGGACAAGAGTCCACCCTACGCGAGGCATGTCCCATGAGCGGCATGTGTGATGAGTTGAACTGCATATAACAGCAGAGTGGGGCAAGAACCTCAGGGCTGAGTAAACCATTGTGGCATGTAAGTGACTAAGATGCAAAGTTCTGGGCATTCTGGGCTGCTCTATAGCATCTGCGTCTGGGTGTGGCCCCTCACTCTAAATTCAGGTGTTAGATTCTGCACTCCTGGGTTATGTCTACACTGGTGGGTTCTTGAGCAAGAACGGCCATTCTTGCGCAAGAACCCGCAGTGCGTCCACACAGCCCGTTCGCTCTTGCACAAGAGGGCAACATGGACATGCAGCCGAGGTTTCTTGCACAAGAAAGCCCTACGGATATAATGGCCATCAGAGCTTTCTTGTACAAGAGAGTGTCCACAGTGCCATAGATGCTCTTGCGCAAAAGCACATGGCAGTGTGGACGTGTTCTTGCGCAAGAGTTCTTGCACAAGAACCCACCAGTGTAGACATAGCCCTGAAGTGGCTGAATCCGTCTCTGAGCAAGCCTTCCTTTGCCTATTGTGTTAGATTGCATTTGATGTATTTTTCAGAGAGGCAGATCAGGGGCATTCCTTGGGGGGGTTGAGAAGTTGCTAGGAATAAAATATCCCATTATTTCTAGTCTTGCCTTGATTGTCAGGGTTGGGGTAGATATTCCCATGCAAACAGCGGCAGAGCGATAATAGATGTGCAAATGGCACCTCAAACTATTCTAGGGTCTCCTCTATTAAGTTAACTCTTTGCCAACAAGACCAGATACACTAGTGTGTCACTGACAGGCTAGGCTTTCTCTGTCCTTTTCCGCAACCCTGTCCCCCTTGGAATGGCTCCTTCTTCACATGTCTTACAGAAAAATGGTGATTTAAAGGCAGAGAATGAAGCCAGGATTTTATTGCATTCCCTTCCGGGAGCACTGGAAATTATGCACGGTTGGTTCCATTTACCTGTCTTAAGCCCTAAACTTGACATGGGTCAAAAAAGATGCTTCTGGAAAGAAAATACAAACAAGTGGCATATCAGTTAATAGGGGACCTCAGCTGCTCAGCGCTGACAACGGAGCCCTGCCTCTGCTCAGCACCTGCCTATTGTTCAGAAGGGCCTCCCAGTAGACAGGGCTAGTAATGCATTTAGGCAAAAGCAATGACAACTAAGAGCTGATAATTGCCCTGCACAAAGGACTCAGCGAAGGCAGAGGGTGCCCTTTGCCACGGCATCCATTTCCCTGTCCGGAATGAGTCAGAGATAGATGGGAAATAGGAGGGAACCAAAGGGACATTTTGGGTGATGACAGTCGCGCTGGCCCCTTTCCAAGACTACCTCCCCATTTGCTAGGGAGCAGCCGCAGAAGGATCCCCCTCTGGTTTCTGCACGGAGTTTTATCCACACCTGTGTATCGGCGGCTCTCTGTGCACACACTACCCCTCTAGGCTGAGGAGCTCTGGAGGCAGACAGCAAAAAAGAGAAACCAAAGAGAAGAGCAGCCTCACCTGATTGCCATGAGAAACCACGGTGCAGGGCCCCCAGGCTGGGCAAGAAGCTGGCCACCGTACAAGCGTCTTTGTGCTGGAGCTTTGGAGAGAAAGAGGGAGACTCCCTGGGTGAGAGATTACCATGCAAACTCCGCCCCGTCTTCTCCTCAACCGGCGCACAGGCGAAGCCGAGCTGCTAGGGCTGCAGCTCCAATTCATTGTTAATGCTGAAAATGCGGCCAAGTCACCTTCGCTCCTCCGGCTCCATGTGCGGTGCCGCCCCTGTGCTGCTGCCCCCTGGCTGAGCCCCCGACGCGGGGCAGGCATGGGCCCAGCGCCGGGCAGGTGCC